ATATGATAAAATCTTGTCCTCAGGCACGTAGTTCGGACATTTCTGAAGTAGAATCGACTTCTGGAGATCGGCCCACCATGGTTTTAAAACATTTTTCGCTTTCGCGAATATGTCTTCCCGTATCCTTCAGCCCCTGCCCTTGTTTGCATCCCTCTATGTCCATGACTCCTCAGTCTATGGATAGAGTGACGTCGTAAAGTAGTAGCGGCGAACGGTACTTGTTTTTTCTGTCTGTCTGTTCCGTGCGAAAACAATCCGATTATTTCGACGCACAAATTCGGCTGGTTGACACTTCACTGGCTTTTTCTTCTTTCATCAAACTTCATGTGAAAAGGAAAGCGTGAAGAACTAATGCCGCAAGCAAAATTCGATCACTGACAACTTTTAATGAACAGAACACGTGAAAGTGCCTTATTCAGCATTAATGTGCACTTTCTGCGCGCAATCCACGGAAAGAATCGATGTTTACCTAAGTGTTGTTATGTGCAAAGACGTGGCATGCCTCGTCTTGCGAATACTTCCTGACTGTTCTACAACTTTAGCTTTATCAAAATATGTATTAGTGATATATTGTTACAGTCGTCGACAATAACAAGATTGCTTTCATGCGTTTTTGCAGTTCATCTGCAGAGACCACCTCTTGAAAGTACAACAGAAGTCGAGTTCAACTAAATGATTCACAATACAAACCTCAACTTGTCTGTTGCTTGCACGTTATAGAAGCAACAAAAGCGTCTTTGAACGTCTAAAAGATACCACCAATGAGTTGGTTAGTTATTTTATTACTATACTGATGATTATCACTATTTCATTCTACATAAATGTTTGTTACTCCTGACGTACAGAGTTCTTAAAAAGCATCTTTCAACATTTCCAAGTAGCTCGAATCTTTTCGAATTCATGTAAATCTTTTTTGAATGTTTTACGGCACATTGTAATACTTTCACCTAGTCTGTATTGGATATTCCAAAATCTTTATTTAACTCTCATATTCAAAAAGTATCTTAGATCACTGAGAGTCTCTCATTCAAGATCAAATACGTACAGAGTATAGATGCTTGAGAGAAGTTTCACCAAAAATCATCTTACTCTGCTTCAAAGAACGGTAAGGAAAATTCCTTGATTTGCAATTTATATAAGTTGTATCTCAAACGAAAGCTTTAATAGAATCATACTGAAATCCAACATTGTAGGGCACTCCCTTAGGCCTGTGTGGCATACTGTCTGAAGAACGGAATTAGGATTGATTAAAGATCCCGAAAACGGGTTAGTTCAGGATTTTGAGATTATCGTTGGAATACCTGCACTATGGGAGCATCGAGACGTTCCAGTAGTTAGAATCCTCGTGAGGCTACGCAAAGAAGGTACAGTTTCAAACTTCTTCAATAATTAGACTTACCCAGTATTTATCCCCATCTAAATCGGACCCGGACATTTCGTTTGGATGAGGTCGATGTCCTTTAATTGGAAATACAATACAATCACGTATACGTGTTTGCAATTCAGGTACGTTCACAGCAGTATATTTTCGAACATCACCAGGATATAAGCAGGGCATTTTTGCCACTACTACTTCGCCTATAAACAAGTTAGATTTGATCAGATTATCAAAGAGAAACCTATTCACCCGCGACCACAATGTATGTCTTCTCATTCGACGAATCGAGACTTTGAAATTGAATAAAAACTTAACCATATTCTAACGTTCCAGTTTCATCGACTACACCGAACATATTTCTTCCTTCATTCAATACTAATGGGATCTTATTTTTTAATAGATCCTCTGTCGTTGATGAATATTTTAGTTTTCGTCTTTGTTCATTGACGTTTGAAGCGAAGAGACTGGTCATAGCAAGATTTTGATAAGATTCAAAAATTGCATCGGAATTACCCAAATCAGATAGAAGCATAATCACTTGATTATTCAATTTTAATTCTACTATAAACAAGTGAAATAATATTCTCCAATACAAAAGACTTGCAAGACTTACGTGTTCTACTATATTCACATACTTCCAAATCCCAATTGTTTGATTGAAATTTTTCTATCGATGGTCTGATTTTGATATAATAATCGTTTAATGTCGACTCTGGATCGATGACTAACATGCATTTACAACCTGCGATACGAACCTGATAGGCAGATGGAATATCTTCCTTGATTTCTAATTTGATATCTAATTTTATTGCTATTAGACCAGCTATTCCCCAAGACATTTTTCCAATTCCATTAGTAAAACAATACTTTTTATCTTCGGTTTTAATATCATCGACCATCATGACAAGATTCGTCATATTCGATGTGAAGTTCTTCTCATATTGAAATGAAATCTAGAAAAAAGTCTTTTCTCCTATTATCAAAGGCAACAATTGATTTACTTGTGTTTGGTGAGAAGTAGTTAAATAGAGTCCAATTTGAGCGATAAAATTTGCCACATTTTTTATGCAAAAAGATCTCCCAAAAGTTTCCATGCATCCTCAATGGATTGACTCTTATATGCTACGAACCAAAATGACATATCTCGTAACTGACTACTAGATGCTCCAAAGAGACGATATGTTCGACCCATAGCTTTGATTCCATGCAACATTTTCGTAAATAGTTTCTCATCAAATGTAGTAAGTCGATCATGAATTTGTTTCGAATATTTACCTTGAAAGACATAACCCATCGAGTAAAGCATATTTAGGGCATACTCTTGCTTGTGCGATGCTGATAGAGGTGAAGTAAACCGTTGTTCCTGATTTTCTACTAGATCGCATCGAAGCGTGGCGAAATAGATCTTAAATGGAGTACGATATTCCTTGCTATTGCGTATCAATTCTTGCAGAAATGTCCAAGTATGATTGATATCGTCGAAAAAAAGACGAATGTTAGAGCTCTTTGATATTATAGTGTCCAATTCATCTTCACCAGTCTCACATATTCTAAAAAAGATAGCAAACAAAAAACTTCGTCCTAATGCGATCTTTACAAACCCCAAAACAGCATTAGAGCGCCTTCCAGCAGAGATCGAAACAATGAGAGAAAAATTACAGGTAAAATTCAATGAAAATATCAAAGCACGAAACATCCCAAGACCAGTAATTGACGAATTTGCCAAAAGAGTACACGCCGAGCTAAGACAAGAAATTATAAAGCAGCCAATAGACAAGACATTTGATGGCACAATCGCCGACTTCCAGAAACAACAGAAGGACAAAAACGTAGTCTTTCGCAAGACGGACAAGTCAAAAATTTTCCATTTAGACCGACTAGAAAATTACGAGAAAAAATCAGATGAATACATAAAGAAGACAAATGCATACGAAGAAATTGCATATAATCCGATAGACCAGATGATTCAAAACACCGACCAGATGTTACGACACCTCCTCACGAGCAAGCAGATAACACAAAAGCAATACGAACTCTTGAAACCCAGAACAGAAGATTGTGAACTACCTCATCTCTATTATAACACGAAAGACCATAAAATCGTAGAGCCTCTACGCCCAATAGTGAGCGGAATGAAATCCCCTACAGCTAAAATGTCATCATTTCTAGACCAGATCTTGAGACCCATTTTTGATCGAGAAACATCACATTACACTCTTGACAATTCTCTGAAATTCTTAGATAAAACAGAACTATACGAAATTACAGACAAGACAAGACAATTTACGTTCGATATCACAGACCTGTACACAATGATCCCCCAATCAGAATCCGTCCAAGCCATAAGTCGCCTCCTAGCAAAAACAGGGAACGGAAAGTTGTGTGTTTTTAGTGTAATGTCGAAAGCATTCAGGGACGGTGGTGGAGCCTTAAAGTTGAGTCGGGCTTCGAGTTTTGCTAGCTGAGCTTTCAATTCGTCACGTCTTTCTGTCAAGTCAAGTGTCAGTCGAATATTCTCATCTTCGTCCTCTGTCCGAGGTATCGTCATCAAGCGGTCACGATGTTTTTTCAACGCATCCCATTTGCCTTTGAGAACCTAAAAACCGAGTACAACAAAATTTTCAACATTTTTCACGTACTCTCACACACGCTCACCCTCTCTCTTGCTGCCACGGCTAAGGACCTAATCTATGAAGAACCGCGACCGCAAGAAAAAATAGACGGTCTAATAACCATCCTGGACGGTTGGCAGACAAAAATCATTGACCCTTTTCCAGAGCCTCTACGCACCATGAATGAGAAACGTCTGAGTAACCTAGAAATAGATCGTGCGCTGAAAAAACATCGTGACCGCTTGATGACGATACCTCGGACAGAGGACGAAGATGAGAATATTCGACTGACACTTGACTTGACAGAAAGACGTGACGAATTGAAAGCTCAGCTAGCAAAACTCGAAGCCCGACTCAACTTTAAGGCTCCACCACCGTCCCTGAATGCTTTCGACATTACACTAAAAACACACAACTTTCCGTTCCCTGTTTTTGCTAGGAGGCGACTTATGGCTTGGACGGATTCTGATTGGGGGATCATTGTGTACAGGTCTGTGATATCGAACGTAAATTGTCTTGTCTTGTCTGTAATTTCGTATAGTTCTGTTTTATCTAAGAATTTCAGAGAATTGTCAAGAGTGTAATGTGATGTTTCTCGATCAAAAATGGGTCTCAAGATCTGATCTAGAAATGATGACATTTTAGCTGTAGGGGATTTCATTCCGCTCACTATTGGGCGTAGAGGCTCTACGATTTTATGGTCTTTCGTGTTATAATACACTTACGTACCCACAACCTCAAAATTTGGCTCCAAATTTCTTCAAATGTGGATTGAAGCCTTTGAAGACACTCCCTTAGCGGATGTACATCCAATTTTTGCGAACCGCTTATCCGAAAATCTAACACAGATGCTGATCCGGAAAAAACCACCCAAGAATATATTATGTGCACCTTTAGAACGAAGCAAATACGTAATTAATAAGTCAAGAGGTCTTTTACAAGGCAGAAATGAGCACAATAAGATTATAAATTAAAATAGTAGTCCAGTTTTTCGTTCAAAACTTTTTTGCAACTGGAAAACGATACTAGACGCTCTTCTTTTTCTATTCTTCATACAATTGGCACTACGACAGATCTGATCGTCAAAAACTTTATACATTAGAAATTTTGTGTGAACGATTTCAAACCCCTCACCTAGGAAGGTTTTGGGTAAACACATCTCCAAAGTCACTCCAGATACATTTGAAGGAAGTACGACGAATTCCAAGTTATCGAGTTTTGTAATAAAGAGTAAGATCAATATAGCCCCTGCTGTACTTTTAACAACAGAGTAAAAACTTCCGTGCTATTCAGTAAAATTCGAAAGTCAAATGGAATTTCATTGTGATCACATGCCTTTGTGTAGCGTTTAGAAAAATCATTCTACATCTCCTCGGATCTTCCGTCAACCACAGGTTCACTAAGCAATCCAGATTCAACGTCTAGTCGTTCGTCGGCGCCCCTGCGAGGCGCCACTCACCGCTAGCCGTTCTCTGCATTAAGCCTCCTTGAGAAAAAGATGCTCCATTACTGTTAAGACTTAATCTCAGCACTTTTGGCTCTCCTCAAAAGCAAGTAAATTGAAAATAGAGGATTCTCAAAGAGAAATAGTTTAACTGGGACTTTTATGGCTAATGCGTATGGCTGGGAAATCTAGGAGCGAGGTTTTCTTGGCATTTTGTTCAGGGATTGAATGCCGTCTTTGTAAATGATATTTTACCAAAATTGTATAAAACGGTGATAGATGAATGATGTTTTTGGCAAAACAACTGTACCAAACTTATTCCATTACTGTCATGAATGAAAAACTGGTACAAAAAATATGAGACTGATGCATTTACTGTACACACCGTCATCGATGCGACCCTCTTAGTAGAATATATAGTGCATGTTGTTCGTTCATCTGTTGCTGTGCAATGTGCTGAAACCCCGACACGCAAATGAACTCAGTATGCGAAAAGATTGCAAGCAAAATGTGCAGCGGTTTTTCGAACTGCAAGTTTAAACATCGTGTTAAAACTTTACAAAAGCTATTTATGAAGACTACCGTAAATACCCACTACCAACTATTTTCCTATAAACTTTATTTCTATTGGTCCCTAGCCAACCCCGTTCCCTCATCCTCACCCCTCATGAGGTAGCGGATCTGACAGAGCTCATATTCGAACCCCTTCATCGAACTACCCCTTGGGAACCATTTTTCTAGAAACTCGATTTACATTGGTTATTAGTCCACCAATGGAGTTTCAGGGCCAATGGATGTCAGATTCGAACTCTCCAACCCAGATTACCTATACAAGGGCTTCCGTGAAGATAAAACAATGCTTGTTGCGTTTCCGATAAAATGCTGCTCTCTGATTGGTTGGACAGACAGACAGACACACAAACATTTTATGCTACGATAACCTTTTCTTTCAGAAAAGGGAATAATCTTTCTTCTTATTCCAAAATAGTTTTCTTTTTATTCATATATCTATTCTGGAACATCACGACTTTAACATGAGCACAAACCATCAAAGACGACCTCGAGTAGCTCCTCCTCCATCCACAGCAATAATGGACACTACAGATCCAGTTTCTGATACTATCACAACTCCTCCAGCTCAAACTGATCGACGTGAAAAACGTTGTCTAATATGGTCAAAACTAGCATTTGCAGCACTTGTTCCTCTAATGATTGGCATTGCTACTGTTCTTATCGCTTTACAACAACAAAGAAGTGAAGATCGTCGTTTTCAACAGACGCAAGAGAATGAAGATCGTCGACGTGAACAAGATCAACAACAAGCAAACGATCTTCACTATCAAGATGTCTATAAAACATACATCTCCGACATTTCTAATGCAATCTTTAAGCAACAAGATCAATCTAATTCATTCGCTGATCTCCGCACACGTCTGGACTACATCCGCAGTCAAACTCTAACAGCTTTGTTAGATTTAGATTGTCGACGAAAGACATGGCTCTTTGAGTTTTTGCATGGAAACGAACTTCTTGCTGGTCCTCCTCAATCAACATCGCTGGATCTCAGTGGCGCCGCCCTGTCGTGTATTCGAATAACGAAGAGTATAAACTCAAAAAACCTGAGATTCAACGCATTAGCATTGTCATCAGTTGATTTAACAAATGCATCTTTCATCGACCGATACTTCGAATACGGGGCTGATTTTAGTGGATCAGCAATGGAAAACATAAACTTTACACGATCCCGTTTTGTTCGTCAGGGTGAAAATCCGAGATTTTTGTTTAAAGATGCTAATCTGTTCGGTGCTGATTTCTCTGGTGCAGCATTATCTGACGTTAGTTTTGGAGGAGCAGATCTGTCGTATGCAGTTTTCAACGCAGTTGAGTTTGGTGAACAAGTTGATCTGACCGGAACAAATCTGGTATTTACAACTTTCAAAGACGTCAAGTTGTCTCCTTCCTTTCCTATGATTATTACCAATGCCAATATGACCGGTGCTTTAATCTTGGAACAAGAATGGTTCATATCTGCAATGAACCGCGGTCAAATTCATATGATGGATGTAATACTGCCAAACGGTACGTGGCTGTTGAATGAGACGAAGAACTTCATTCGAAATGGAAATGCAGAAGAAAACGTAAGTATTTGAACTTCCTTAGGTTCTATTACTCATTAGTCTGACGACACTCTAAATACTTTTTTGTTCTAGTGTATATCATTAACTGATATAACAGGAATTCCCAACTGGTCTACATTTAGTTCGGTTCCTAACAGTGCCCTTCCGACATTATCTGGAACTCGTCGTAATGACTCGTCGATCAGTTGTTTGTTTAATTTTACTTCGACAACTGCTGACAAACCTGTCTCTATGGGCCAGTTGATCTACTTTACTGACATCTCAGTTTTTATTCAGAGTTCTGAAGCTGAGTATCATTTATCCTTTGACGTCGCCGGATGTCAAGGTGGTTTTATGCAAATACAATTCAAAATCTTCTCATCAGTGACTACACCCGTACAGTCATGTATGTCATTATTTTTGGTTAGTTGACCATCTTTGCCTAACATCTTTATTCCATTTAGTGTTTTTTGTTAATGGAACTGATCAACTACATTGGCTGAGGCGAACTATATCCGAAAAAACTCGTGCGAATACACATACCATACAGGTTGAAATTGCAGGAGGAGATCATACAGGATTCTGTTACGTGGACAATGTTGAGTTTTATATTCGTCGAAGTGGGAACAGGAAGTGAATGTTCGGTGTGATGAGACTTGTGTTTTTTCGTGCGTGTGACGTGTAACAACATAAAATGAGTTGTGCTTGCTTTTTTCGTTCTCTTTTTTCGTTAACAATACATGTAACTTAATTCCAGGTGTTGTTGTTGTACCTGCAGTTGATAAAAGGATGACAGAACATGAAATTCTACTTCAATCTCTGCACAATGATGTAAGGAAACAAGTAGCTATTCTACGTCAGTGCAGATGCTTCAAAAACCTATAGTTGACATTTTCCTCATGTATCTTCTAGTTTTTGGGTTACTGTACGAACAGTTATTAAAGAGAAAGTCGGTTAACAACCAGTTGTATCTTTAACCGCCAGTTTTCAGCGGTTATCGACAGTTCGATCGATTAACTAGTCTAAAAACAGAGAAACGACTACGTCGATTGCGAAAAGCGTCTGTTTCTCAATTTTACTGCTCGAAAGTATTTTGACAACATAGTCCAGTATCTCAACCATATTTACACATATTACGATATAAAGCAGCCACTAAAAAAACTAGTATGAAAATCAATGCTGTTGTAATGGAATATTCGGTTGGTTTTCTTTGTTTTTCTACGACTATCAAATAATGTTCCTAGGAAAAATGTAGTTTGATAGTCAAGATGAATATCCACCACATTCTATTTTGAGTTTCGACTATATAGAAATTAGTTTTGAAAGAACCAATGAAAAACTGGCGAGATGTTCAAAACCGGATCGTAGTTACGAAACTATTTTTAGATTTGTTCAATTCTTCAGGCGGATTCAGAGTTTCGACAACATAGAAGCACCCGCGACCGTGAAAAAACCTTACGCTCTTTTAAACAAAATACTGCTTGACTGTGCGCAATTATTGAGAAAAGCCACTGATAAATCGAAAGAAACTGCTGATTAACCGCTGTTAGTTTTATATAATCAGCGCTTTACAGCAGTATTAGAGAGCGTAATTGGATCGAAAAGCGCAGTGAACCGATGATTTTTAACATTTGGTTTGATACTAATGTTATGGTATCGAAGCACGAAGTTCAATCCTTCTCTCTCGAAAGAACGCATAGGTCCTATTTGTAGTGCTCGTCGTGGTTGTAGTTGAAGTAGCTAAAAAAAAGACAATTAATGAAGAGCAGAATGGATTGTAGGATAGGCGAATTTGTGATTTGACTCTGATGAATGAATTGTAAAATCCAAATTTGAAACTTGTCAATTTTGCATCATACAGAAGTTCAGACATCTCAGGCAATGTGAATTGATTTTCATCTCAGACTGATTTTACGTGAAGAAGCTCCGTTAATCTACACGTACTTGTCCTTGTTGTGGTCGTTGTCGTCGTACTAGTAGTAACTTGGATGAAAGAGAAAAACTTCTGTTGTGTATGGATTGCAGTGGTTCAAAAGCGGAGAACTCACCTGTGGTTGTTGTGCTCGTTGTTGATGTGCTACTGGTCGATGCTGCCAATGAAAATATTAGAAATGGTTGCCGAAGTTGAGATCCATCGTATAGCTCACCGGTTGACATTGTTGTAGTCGTCGTTGCTAGAATACACAAGAAATCAGTTTGATAAACTTTTCAAAGAGAGACTACGTATCATGACGGCTGGATATTATATATTGTAACTGAATTCTAGAGCTAATTATTGCAATTATTGATTGAAACTATTCCGTTTGACAACGTCAGAATGAAAAGTTAGATCACCAACATAGGTTTTCCACTAGAGCCTTTAGAAATTGAAAACCTCAGCTCTGACACTTTGGTGTGAGAAGTTATTACAACTCTGTTAGACTACATTCTTTTTCAAATGGACAGCAGTTCAAAAAGAATATATTCTTTAGTCTCTATTTTTCTTCTTAGTTGCTCTTTTATCACTGTATAATACAGTCGTGATGCTGAGAGAATCAAAATTATTTAAAATAGAATCAATATAAACCTCCGTGTAGCATTGTAATTGTAGAATACTGAACGGATATATATCAGAGCAAATCCGGCTTCGAAAAAGAACTGGTGGAACATCAAAAACAGTGCTTATTGTTGTGACTCGAAAGCTCTTTTCCGCCAAAATTTCTTTTATCGAGCTCTTGAAAATTTAGTGAAAAACTCTTCCCTCATCACTGCTCACCAGATCTATTCTTCGAACTTCTTTCCTTTTAGCAAAATAAAAAGTACAAAACACGTATCGTGAAATATTTTTCTTTTTCTCCGAGAAAAATACGATATCATATTTCTAACTCCTTGTAAACCAACAAAAGGTGCTGACAGTAGCTATAATCGTTTTTTGACAGCTAGTAGTTTGAAGAAGAATTAGCGTTTATATTTTTTGTTGGTAAAATGATCTCTGTCAAACATTTATTTTCCTTCCTGCTCATTTCAAATGTTGATGCACGACCGACATAATACTATTTGAACAAAACACTTTCAGAAAAATCTACACTTTATTCCATAAAAAAACAATCTTCCTTCTTATTTCAAAATAGTTTTCTTTTTATTCATATATCTATTCTGGAACATCACGACTTTAACATGAGCACAAACCATCAAAGACGACCTCGAGTAGCTCCTCCTCCATCCACAGCAATAATGGACACTACAGATC